TTTATACTGAAATGCTTTACCTTTTAATGTTAGGTTTGTATGTCAAACACAGTGGCGAATTTAGGGGGGAGGGCGATTGAAGTGATCGCCTCCCCCCCCCCCTTCCAAAATCCTAGATCCGCCAATGGTCAAAAACAATATAAGAACATGTTCTAATATATAATAAAAGCACAAATGACTTAAAGTCATATGATTAAAAAATGAATGTACTAGAAGGACTTCTTTAACTTTCAATATTCTTTAAAAATTCTATTCTATAATAAATAATCTTTGATTAATTCAGTTGACATAATTATAGAAATGACATATATTATGATTTTCTAGAGAATATGCATAAATAAACTTTAAAGAAAAAGACAAAGAGAGAGAGAGAGGCAAAATCAAAAGTAAATAATACAGTCAACGGAACTTGTTAGATTTCAGAATATTATCTCGAACAATACAATAATACGACAAAAAGAAAGAATCAATTTCATATATATTTTTTTCTTCTTCTTTCGTATGCAGTTTAAAATAGTTATAATTCCATGAATACAGTAAAAACTGTTGGAAATGATGTTCGAACTCGTATTGCATTTGTTCCTCGACAAGCACGTACTAATGTTCAAAAGGTAATCATGTAAATACACAGTAGAATTCTTAATTTTTATTCTTTAGATAAAAGTATTCGATAAACAGGAACAACTTCCTTCAATTACAAATATAAGTGAACTTCCTTCATTTTCATCAAAGAATATCACACCAAATGAAACAACAGAACAAAATAGTCATGAAAGTAGTAGTAAACCAAAAACTGATAGATTACCATCATCAAATGCTGTTCAATCTGTATCACCTCCGACTGAAAGTACATGTAATTTAAAAACAGTAAAAGATCTATCAGGTCATGGTTTTAAAAATTGGCTTAGGTAAGTTATGAAATTGTAATAGTATGAGCTTGATGAATATCTCAGATAATTTTTGGTTAGAATACGAAGTTTTTCTTTTCTTTTGTTATGATTTAGTCGTTTAACACCAAAACAAAAATTACTTCTCAAGATAATTATTCCAGCCATTATAATATCATCTATCGTACTTATTATTATTCTACCTGTCTATTTCTATGTCATTAATCCACATTTAGAATGTAAGTAAAGAATTTTAAAATCAAAATATTATTCACTATTTTTATCTTAGCTTCGTTTGCTAATATCACTGTTTCGGCTTGTTCGAAGACGACATGTATTGGCAAAGAAACACCATATCATACATCAATAACTACTGCTCTTTATCCTTTTGATGGAAATTATAATGATATAATAGGATATAATACAGGAATACCAACTAATTCACCTACCTTTTCAGTTAGTTATCCTGGTTATGTTAGTCAAGCGGTATATTTTACAAGTGGTTCTCAACAATTTATTCAAATTCCTAATATAAATTTAACTAAACAAAGTTTCACATTACAAGCATGGCTGTGGCCAACAACTATGTCATCTACAAATGATTTAGCTATATTTGGTCAATGTGATTCTAATTCAAGATGTCTTTCTTTAAGTATACGATCGGCACGTTTTGCACTATCATTCGATTCTATGAATACGAGTAGCATTGTATTGATGGGTACATCAGTTGTACAAAACAGTTGGGTTCATGTCACAGTAGTGTATGATATAACTCTATTTCAACAACGAATCTATGTTAATGGTCGAATAGATGCAGTATCGAACAATATTGTTAATCCTTTTCAAACAATATCATCAGTTTCGGCGACAACTATTGCAAAGACTTCATCATCTGCTTATGGAACATCCTATTATTCTGGGTAAATTATAATCAATCTTTTTTTTTGTTTTGTATTGATATAACTGATTATTAAGTTATATTTTATTTTGTATTGTAGAAAAATTGATCATTTAACAATTTCTGCTGGTATTGTTCGAACTACTTGTCAAATATTGAATGATGCATCATTAGTAGCATATTATCCATTTAATACAACAACAGCAACTTGGAATGATTATAGTGTTAATCTTTGTAATGGTATCGCATCAGGGGTAACACTATCTGAAGGTCGTGTTGATCAAGCTATTTCTTTTCAATCAAGTACAAGTTATTTTCAAGCACAATGTTTTCCAAAAATGCGATATACTGATACATCATTTTCGATTTCACTCTGGATTAATCCAACATCTCTGACGAGTGGTGGTTCATTAGTACATATTTCTACTAATACAACTGGTACCTTATATTGTTATGATCTTCTTGCTTTTACAACTACAGGAGCATTAGTATTGCAATGGATGGTATCAGTTTCTACTGTTAATAGTGTTTTAGGTCCTGTAATGCCACTAAATACATGGACACATATAGCTGTTGTATTTAGTACTACAAATGGTATACGTCTTTTTATTAATGGAGAATTTAGTACTTCATCAGCAAATACAGGCTCACTTACTATATATGATCCCACTATGGTTCAATATATTACATTAGGTAATGTTGGTTCATTGGGACCAGCATCATGGATTACCTGTGCAACTGGTAGTATATCCTATGCATCAGGACCATTTTCAGGTGCTGTTGATGAATTTCGACTCTATAATCGAGAATTAGACAGTCAAGAAATTTGTGTACTTGCGAATCCATAAATTCATAATGATATATAATATTTTTAATTTTTCAAAAAAAAACAAACAAGAGATTGTATTATTGATAATAAAATATTTTTTGTTTTTAATTACTTTTTAACACATTTATATTAGACAAAATAGTAAATAGGACTGATGTGAGCAAGTTTCGAATATATCCTGTGATACACCAGTGAAATTCAATAGAAATTTTGCATACATTTATATGAAAAGATATGTTATCAAGTGATGCCTCTAGAATGATTTTGACATAAAAACTTGGATATTCTAAGATTATGGAAACAGCGTTATCTACTTCGTTCTGTAAGATCATGTACGTATTTATTTTTTTTTCATCAGTCAAACAACAATTATTTAGCATGAGATACAACAAAGTTATAACTAGGCGGCGAATCATGATTAAGAACAGAATTAGATTCTGTTCCTAATATAATTGGTATATCAATATCAAAATTCGTAAATATTCCTTCCACTTTAATTGCAAATCGAATTGTGTAATAAATATGAACGTTAGCAGATGTTTGAAGACCACCTTGAAATTGATATGATGGTGGTAATCGAATATTAGGAATTAATATTGAAAATGTTTCTCGTATGAATTCATTTCTGAGATTAATAATATTTGGTAATACTGTGTCGAAAATTATAATTTTACGTGAATTTCGTCCAATGTCATATAATTGTGTCATTGATAAATTAATACATTGAATTAATACATTTCGTCGATTTTCAATTTCTAATGTTGCAACTATTAATTCACCAGGAACAAAACCTAATTTATTTAGTGTTCCTTTTAATTTTATATCTTTTCTATTTTCATTGCCAAATATAGTTGAAATTAAACATTGAGGATTATGTAATAAATTAACGCGTGGAAATATTGTTAAATATCTTGTTTCTCTTTTGTTTGGTTTATACCATGTTTTTTCAATCATAACTTGAAGATAATATCGAACATGAGGATATGATTGTGGTTGATTGAGTGTGGGTGGAAGATGTTCAGTTAATAGAATTTGAAATGGCCATGAATATTGTCCTTGATAGTAAACAAGTTCTTTTTGTCCTAAATCAGGCCTTACAAAAATAGCTTTAGCAGAATAAAATGGAATATGATGATATTTGGTTTGTGTTGATGTTCGTCCTTTCCCACTTGAAATAGTTTGAGTTGTTGTATAACCGATTTCACCTATTAATGTGAGATTAATTTCATTAGCTTCTAATTTTCCTTCCATAATATTTAA